AATGGTCATGGTGCAGTGAGGAAATGCAGAAGAGGAGGCACTAAATTACTATGGTGACCCAGTTTCTGTTCTTGACTTGTCACTGGTTGTCTATAGTGCATTCATTTAGCTGTCTGTACTTTAATTTCCCAAACCTCATATCACTTAGACATCACCTTTCATTAGTTGGTAGTGGAGCTTCATGCTAGTGGTTCCATCCAAACACTGTTGTAATGCTTTTTTTTTAAAAAAAAAAAAAATTCTCTGCCATGGAAAACATGGACTAAGACTTGAGTGAAAACTTTTTTTTTTTAACCTCTCCTCTTTGAGTTCAGTAGTTTTGAAGGAGCCTTTTGTGGTAGTAGATTTAAAGGGTTTTTTTCCAAACGTATTGAAATTCATTATACCTGAAAGATACTACTGGCTCTGGAAGATCAGCTTGAAGATCAGAGTTGTCATTCTCTCATCGCGTGCTGTTATCAACCCATTCTAGAAATGTTTGTATTCATTTAAGTGAACTTGGAGACCTGACTGGTTTCTGAGTTTTTAAAATTACTACAATGTTTCTCTGAGAAGAACATGGACTAGTTGGAGACAAAGCAAAAATTTTTATCTCCAAGAGGACAACAGTATGATATTTTTTTTCTTTGAGATCAGTTATAAGTGAAAACACTTTCCCTTATATGAATGAAGTGGCAGTTGGTCATTGACATCTCCTCATCCCACTGATGTTAAATCTCATCTGCAATGTGTTCATATAGTCATAGTCTTTGTTCTTTTACGCATAGATAACTGGAGAGTGAGACATGGGCAAGGCTATTCCAATTCCGTTTCATCTCCTCCTTTTATGGATTGTTGCTGAAGATGCTGAATTACTTTTCCTGTTAGTAAAATATGGAAATTCTACTGTTACCGGCTTGAGTTGGAAAGCATGAAGAATTGTAAGTGGCAAGAGCAGGAAGGGGGCTGAAGCATTTTTAATATGGTGTGGTTTGTTTTTTTTTTTTAAGAGTATGTCCACTAGAGAGCAGCAAAAACCTGTATTCCTAGAAGCTTTGGCTATTCAGCTGATTAGGCATTATTTTCTGCTTTTAAGGCGGGGGGGAGAGTAGCTTCAGAAGGAAGTGGTGATCTATTTGTGCTGAGGAGACCATTCAGTTGTGTGTGACAGTGTCCTGGCAGGAGATTAGAAGATGGTGGCATCAAACTGGAACAAAAGTCTGAATTGTATCAAATTGCACTCATTGGGAATTCCATAGCAAAGGAGAGGTGGGAACAAAATGAATGAGGAAGGTAAGACACCAGATGCTTTGTTTAGTCATGGTGGTATCTGTGTGTCTCTACAACTTCACAAGATGAGGAAGATGAGTAAGTGTAACAAGGTCAACCTAAACCTCATTTTTCACTTCGAGTAACTTGGCCTCTGTACAGTGACTGAATGTAAATATATCTTACTGAATATCTGTATCTTACTGTAAATGTTCAGATGCATGCGCAGTTAGGATGAGCCAAGAATATTATTTAAATAGGAAAAAAAAAAAAGTCATGGATGAAGCAAGTGAGATAAAGGCCTGCTTGTTAGGAAAGTTTCAAGAAATATCAATGGGTGAATACTTTAGGAAACTTTTAATGGGTTGAAAAAAATTTTGTTCAAGTGTAAAGTATCAAAGGCACACCAACAGGAAAATAATTGTTAAATGTTCTCATAGTTAAACTCTGAATAATAAGACTTTCCTTACTTCTCTGATGGAGGGATAGGGGTAGGAAACTGTATCTTTAAAAAGGGTACTGTTAAGAAGCTTTACCTTCCTGTGTGCCAGTTCTTATTTCATATACCTTCTAATTATTTTTTCAATAATCTTGATACTAAAATAGTTTTGCAATCCCATTCCTATTTTTCTCCCTTTTTCTGACTGGTCTATGGGCTCGTGACTCTCTCTGAAACATGTGTTATCTTTCTGTAGCAGGTCCGAAGAACTTTATCATATCTTTTCTGTAACATTGGAAGATGAGTGGCAATAATTTGGTTTGATTCAAAATCTTGGGGGAAGGAGGTGTTTTCAGAGAAAGGGGTACAACTTGGAATCAAGACTTTGAGATGGAGTATATATTTGAGATCAGATCACCATTTATTTAAATCCATGATATCCAAGGATAGAGGGGGGTGTAATATCCGAGGCAATTCAGGTGGTTATCTTAAACTCCTGAATTTGTGAAACACCGAATTTCAGATTTTTGGGGCATCTTTGCCACTTATTAATCCTCACACCTTTGGTGTGAGATTTTTGTATGTATCCTTGAAAGAAGTTTGTTTATGGCTCAGTGTTTTTTTTGTGTTGGGCATGAATGTTTAAGATTTCAAATTTGTCTAAATTTCCGTATTTTAACTTTTCTGCATGCATGTACACAAGTTCTGTGCTAGCTTTTGCTCTCCACAGATGAACAAGTGGAGTCACAGTGTATTGATATTTTATTGTTGCTACTGTACTGCTCTCTGTCTGGCTTTGGTCCTGTAAATGCAGGAAGGAATGGAGAAAGAAATTTGAAGTAGTAGTCTTCCTTCTCCAAGAACTTCTGCAATTTAAAGAATGAAACCTGATCATCTTAGACATGGTTAGTCTGTAATTCCTGATTCACTCACCATGCCCCCTCCTTTACTAGTGCAATTGATAGCTTTAGTAAACCAGGAACTTGAGTAATGTAAGGCAATGTTTTCCTGTGGCTTCATAAATAACAAGTCTAAACCATACTCTGCTTGTGTGAAAGGGTATGTTCTCGGGTCGTTCAGGGGTTGGTTTGTTTTTTTTTTTTTTTCAATGAGGATTAAGCCTTTATATGCCCTTTCCTTGTTGCAAAATTGAAGCCATCAAGTAATGTGTAAAGTAGTAATATTGGGTAGCCAGCAGAATCCTGTTTGTCACTTAATAAAGCTATACCTGTGGTTATTGTGAAGAAATGGCTTTATTTGTATTGTCTTTGAAAATAGCAGAATTGCATGCTATAGAGGATATAATATTATTAAAAAGTCTAAGTCTTTAGTATGAGGAACTGTAATGGAACTTCTTTACCTGGAGGACCATCTAGGATTGAAGCCTTTCTCTTTTAATACATAATTGTATAAAGAGAGATGACTTCAGCTTTAAATCTTACTTTCTTTCATCTGTTCATCTCCTAATTTTTTTTTTTTTTTGTCCCACTAAAATGCCTTGTAGTGTTGTTCTTTAGCATTACAGTTCTGTGCCCAAAAGGTTATAGGCCTCCTACTGTTTTCAACTCTTATTTCTTTGGTCATTCAAGTTTGTTTCTCAACTCAGAACCTGTACCAATACTAACATTAATGTTTTTTCTCAATACAGCATTACAGTGTTACTGCCATCTATGTACAAAAGACAACTTTACATGTGTGACAGATGGGCTATGTTTTACCTCAGTAACACGAACTGCAGACAGAGTCATACACAATAGTATGTGTATAGCAGAAATTGATCTGATTCCCCGAGACAGGCCGTTTGTTTGTGCCCCCTCGTCCAGAGATGGAGTCATTACTGTGCCTCATTGCTGTGACAGAGACCACTGCAATAAAATAGAACTTCCAATTCCAACACCAGGTAAGTGGTTTTGGCATATTTGATTTTATTTTACTTTTTTAAACTGAAAATTCTGTAAGAGTAGAAGTTTCAGTTTTGAAGTTGTTAGGTGAATTTGAAGGCCTAAAGTACACCTTAGATTCTGCAAATAAAATTTCAAGAGATTTGGAGCAAGAAATTTAATCTTCTGGATAGGAATATTAGGGCCAGTTTTGAACTTAGATGCAAGTTAAATGGAAACTGTGAGTAAGCACATAGTTGCTTTTGTCCTTTGTAATACTTATTTTGATTCTTGAAAAAGTTACTGTGCAGAATTTTTTACAAATACAGTTAAATAATCTGAAGATCACTGCAAAATACAATAAATTTAGTTGCATAAGAAGAAAGAAATAGTTTTACCATTTGCTTTTATTTTTACTGTCAGGCCCTACTCCGGGAAAACCAGCTTCTAATCTAGGACCTGTGGAACTGGCTGCTGTCATTGCTGGACCTGTCTGCTTTGTCTGCATTTCACTAATGTTGATTCTGTATCTTTGTCATAATCGTACTGTAATTCATCATCGTGTGCCAAGTGAAGAAGATCCCTCACTGGATCGTCCCTTTATATCGGAAGGAACTACTTTAAAGGATTTAATTTATGATATGACAACTTCAGGCTCTGGGTCAGGTAATGTTACACTTCTAGTAGCAATTACTTTGTGTTTAAGAGTCTTGTAAGGCATCATTTTTTTAATATTGTGAAATCTACTTAAACTTATAATTTAGAAAAGCTACTTCCATGTAGATTCATTCAATATCAGTGAAGATTCAATATATGGAAATAAGGGAAATAAAAGAAATACTGAGTTGCTGCTACTGTTCCTCATCATTCTGAGAGTACAGTCTGATATGCAGGGAATATGATGGTCAGCTATTGTAAATGTTTTGTTTCGTCTGTTAGTAAGGCTCAGTCATTTACCTTTTTGTTCTGCACAGCATATGTAAATTACCATCTTCTGTGGTTTTGAGATAATTTGTAACATTTTTTCTTCAGCTTTAAACTGAAAATTCATTTAGATCTGTAGCAATTGGTACATGAAGAATATTCTGAATTCTAAATATAAGTTAATATTTTAGCCAGTTCTCTCCTTATGGAAGATATTTTTTTAGTTGCAAATAGCAATTTCTATGTGTATAGAGTGGATGCAGTATGCAGATCACATCTGAAGAATTTCTGTCCCTTGATTTCATTTTTTTGTTTGTTTTAATTCTGACTTTAACAGGTGTTGCTCTGAAGATGAAGCAGTAGTCTGTTAGCATATAGTCTCTGCTATCGTAATCCTGACATAGTTGCTTATAGGATTGTGGTGGTCTGTGTCACAGAAATATGATTTAATAGGCAGTGATAGGGGATGATGTGTCAGATAAATCACTGTATAAATTAATCTCTGGTCCATGCTAAGGAGTGAGACATCAGATTGTGTATTGCAACTTCTTATCAGCCTTCTATTATATAAAAAGTTTAAATAACTTAATACTGAAAATTATTCCTACTGCTTGCAAATGTATGTGCTGAAACATCCATGCTCTTTCAGAGTATGTTCTGCAAAGAAATACCTGGAGGTTGATTCTCAGCTGCTGAATTCTTTCATTTCCCAGGAATTGGGAAAAATTATAACAACAAAACCCAAGCATTTAGGTTGTGTTGCTTTCCCAAGGGCAGTAACTGGTAAAACTGAGTCCATTGCTCTACCAAGTAAAATCAATGTAACTCACTGAACATGTTTACAATATAGGTCAAAAAAAGTCATCTTTAGTCGTACCCTCACTGAAGACGGTAAGGATGCACCAAGTGTATAGGCAGTTATGTTTCAGTTGAGAATGTTTTGTGTGTCCAAATAAGATTTGATCATGATAGGGTAAGTTGCTTTCGGGTTAGAAAGGGAGCTTTAGTAGTTTGTGTTTATCTCAATTTTCTCATTTACTAACAGCAATAACCAAATCAAATAATGAAAGTGATTAATAGAACTTCCAATATATTGATCTAGAACTTGATAAGTGCAAACACTGGACTTGCTCCTCCAGTTACGCCCTTTCTAGGAGGGGTATGCAAAAGAGATTTGCTAAGAGAACAAGAAGGAGTCAAAGACTTAAATTTCTTGGAATGCAGGAAACTATGTTGTATAATTGTTAGCACTCTTAGGAGCATAAAACTCTTTCCTTAATGTGTGCAGGTACAGACTTTTCCTAAAGAAGGCTGAAAAGAAGTTCTGATCTTTTTTTAAAAGTTAAACCTTGAAAGAGCAGGTGTATGTTCTATATGTTTGAGTAGTCATCTGCAATGTACTAGCTGCTATCACTTCAGTACACAAACCCAGGAGAGAAAGCCTTTAAAGTTCTCCCTTGAAACTGTGTTTAGTCATACTTGTTTTAAAGTACTGTGTGGTTGATAGTTCCCTTCTAACTTCTGTAGATAGTCACAGCACGTCTGCCACTTCCTATGTGGCTGCTTTCCCATGCTTCTTTAGATCAGAAGTCAGACCTATGATAATGTTAATTTAGACTTAGTTGGCTATTGGTCTTTCCATTTGTTGTCAGGAATATTCCTTCATTTTCCTTCTGGCCTTCTTACCTGTGGTGCTTCTGAGCCTCTCCATGTTTGACTCTGGAAGTACTCCTTCAAAAGAAGCTCTTGAAAAGCAGGGAATCAGAGTTAGAAGAAACTTAGGATTCTTCCTCCAGAGCAAATGGTTAGAAACTACTGACTCTTCCCTTGCCTATTGGCAAATTATACTTTAAGTAGAAGCAGAATGCTGGGGAATTACTTAGTTTTTAGAGCTCCAGGACACTCAAGCTGGTACAGACTCCCAGAGCACCTAACCTACTATGGTGTTTGAGCATTGGCTACTGATGGCTGCATCAGAGGAAGAAAACCAACAAATATGGTTGAATTTGACTTACGCCTAAGGAAGGCTCTTCACTAATTTGTTTTTATGGTTGAAAGACAAAGTCATGTTCCTTCTAAAATAAGACTGGATGTTTGCTTAAGAGTGATCTTTTAACTTCAGCTGCAGTGAGATCCATGTTGTTCAGCTGTTTCTAAGATAAGTGTTAGCCTTATTTAGTGTTCCATACTTCCCTTTTATTATGACAGTGGGATAGGAGGTGCTTTAAGTACTTATTTTCTGTACTGTTGGCAGTGTATATATTTGCAATGACTTGTATCACTTTGTCTCAAAATTACTCAGTCAATGACTATATAAATTCACAGTGCCCTAGCATTGAACTGATAATTTTCTTGTGTCCTGAAATATGCCTGCAGCAATTGAATCTCATTTAAATGTGTATTTTAGTCCAGACTTTGGTACAGCACATTTAGAATTGAGAAGACTATGTTTATGGAGTAAAGTGGGGGTGGGGAACAGGGTCACTGAAGGAAGAAAAGTCAGAGCTGCTAGTTAAAAGTGCTTAACCCTGTCAAACTGAACTATGTGAAAGGGATACTGTTGGGGTGAGAGGTTGCAAGAAACTCAATGGAAATATATAGATCAGACAATAACCCAGACCTTAGAGGCACAGCTAAAGGAGGTGTTTAGTCTGGTGACCTAAAGTACATGTTCTGTTCTTAAATCTGTGCTGAGGGACTGAAAGAGCTCGTAGTCAAATAAAAAGGATTCTGCCAGTTCTGTGGTACAGTATTCTCTGAAGAGAAGCATATAAAACAGACAAGTGATCAAAACTGTAAAAATGAGCTTCCTACTCGGAACAAAAGGGAAGTAGGATTCATTTTCTGCAACAATGAATAGTAAGCTGTTACTAATTATTCAGTCTTGACTTCTGTTAGCATTGCCCTGTTGTTCCATGATGAACAAGACCTGAAACAATTTAGAGGGTTGATGAAGGGAATTGATGAAACATCTAAAACGGATCCTTCTGCTGAAGCTGCAGCTCCTAAGAGAAGGATTTCGAAGTCTCTTGGAGCTGAGAATGATTTTGAGATCATGATGCAAATCTCTAAATATCAACTACATATTGTATAGACAGATTGGGATGCCCAGCTGTTACTCTCCAACTCACAAATGACAAAGTAACTTAAGGAAGTAGGAACAACTGCCTAAAACAGGGGGGAGGAGCTTTGGTTATTATTGGTAGGTGACTTCAAGCAGGAACTTAGTGTTTAGAAATACGAAGGATCACAAAAAGTTGAATCAGTTGAAGTAAATGTAAAGCTCCTTAAAAACTTACTTGTGGTTCATAGAAGCTTGAAGGAATGAGATTTTTCACAGTTCATGGTTTAGGGGTTTTTTTAATTACTCCTTAGGGGAAGTCTTCTGGGCAGAGACTTAAACAAGAACAAAGTTCTAGCAACTGCTTTTATTGGCTACCTTTACTACTTTAGAACTTAATTCCTTAATTCCCGAATTATCCAAATCGGGTACAAACTTTTTATGCATTGGACAGTTATTGGTCCAAGCTAATCAGAGTACAGTTAAGATACGGAAAAAAGAACTCTTTTATTAAACTCTCAGAAGGCTTGAGGATACTTTGTTATGATGTATGATGATAAAGGCTTCAGGGGTAAATTGGATGACTATAGCTGAACACAGGATGCCAAATGTTGCTGCTGTTGAAATTTAACATGGGCTTGAATTTTCTCATCCTCCTGATTAGCAAATTGATTGTTATCTATCTTCATGCACAGGTAAAAGAAGCTGTACCCCAAGAGCTTAAGGTACAGTTGTGCCCAGTGTGTATGTCTGTCGTGGTTTAGTCCCAGCCAGCAACTCAGTACCAC